GGATAATGGAACATGAAAACTACTATTTAGGGTACTCCCTTCCCACCCCACCCTCCCGGGTCGAAATAGCAAGGATGGTAGAAGTTCGTGGTGTATATATTGGGTTATCCCTACGTAAGGAAAGTACCACATTACATTAAGTGCAAGCACGGCTGTTTGCTGATTCAGCCTGGAAGGTGTAAAGACTTTCAGCCAATCTCTGACGGACTTCTTGGAGCTGTTGGTTGTCCTGCTGAGGGGCTCATGAGGCCGCGTAAGGAAAGGCTCTGAAGCGCAAGCAAGAATGAACTACGTAGGATCTCTGAGAACATACAGTGTGCCCTGTTGATCTCCTGAGTGTTCCATGAGGAAATGATGCAAGGTTTGCACTTCTAGCTCCACCTCGTTCACAGGCACTGGTTTGCAGGCGTGGGCTGGAACCTAAGTGTGAGCTTGTGCCATTCAAGGCAACGCAATCCGAGGGGCTGGCAACCAATAAGCTTCACTAGCTTCCCCAGTAACCCCTAAATAATGAGGGCACCCTTTTTCCCAATGTTCAATTAGTATACCCCCCCAACCCCCAAGCTTCCGCATCCGGCAGAAAGCACTCTCCTCGCTGCGCGCGCTGAGCAAGCCCTCGGCAATGTCGCGAATCTCGACCAAATTGTTCCTTGACAGGACCTACAGCCATACACATATGGCAGTTTCTCAAAATAGGGGGAACCCAATACAGACCCAAATATATTACAATTTTTATCACAGGGACCTCCAAAAAGGTACCCCTGATTTTGGGAAACCCCCATGTATTCCAGCAGTCTGCTGGGAAGGTTTAGGGCAGGACTTGGGGTGGGCTCCTTGAGTTCAGTGTTTAGGAGTTGGGTTTAGGGTTTAGGGTTTGGGCTTTGCGTTTGGGTTTAGGGTCCACGCCGCAGTGGTGGTCGGAGGCCATCGGTACATCTCTAGAAACCTCAGGTACCTGTTGCAGCTGGGTACTGCCCCCACCCTGTAACAGTCTGTATTGGGGGCCATATTCAGGTATGTATATATATATATAATATATAAATTTTACTAAACCCTGCACCCTAAATCCTAAACCCTTATATAACTATAGTATAAAAAATAATTCGACTGCTACAGAATGGGGGCCGTACCCAACATCATGTACCTGGTGCGAACCCAGGGGCAGCAGCTGCTGGTGAAAGAACCGGTGCAGTGGTGCCCAGGCAGGTAGAGTTGACACCCTTGCCTGGTCCTTAGGGGTTACATAGGGATTATGTAGGGATAATGGAAAAGAAAATGGAAGCTACAGGGATCATAGGGGCCGGGGTTATATAGGGGTTTAATAGGGATTTTAAGGAATACATTGGGATTATGTTGTTCCAAGGGCCGTTCACAGGACATTCGAGACCCAGTTGCGGCCCACATAAGATGTGCACACATCTATATATGTGCATGTGTATGCATATATGTACATATGTACTTTAATAGGCATGTGCGACAATGCAGATAACGGTTTATATGCGTGAGCGTCAGCATCTACAGAACGTGGGTAAACTCTGCTTCCCCAGACAAAATCTCAAACCCTAAGCCAAATTGCTCTCCACAGTCCGCTATTGCTGCTTAGACACGTTTACGGGGACAGACGTTCAGGGTTAGCTGGGTTGCTGTTAAGGAACTTAGTTCAAGTTAGTATATTGGGGAAACCGTATTGATTAGTGTAAATATATATATATACATATATATCCATTATGTTAACTTACCCTAAGCTTCCTAACAGTAACCCAGTTAGGGGTGTAGGCTCTCTCGCTGTGGGATTAAAGTGACTTGTTGTCTCTACCTGCAAAACATGAAAGGATAGCAGGAAGGGCTTCATGGCTGAATGTCTGAACATGTTTTGTTCTCATAACAAAGGGAAGCCTATTTGTGAAAACTCAGGCTTTTGCAAACATGCTTCCAATCTCCTATGGCTCTTTACCTCTACCTCTTCCGAGAAAGAAGTTATGCTGATGTAGCTGCCTGAAGTAGACTCGTTATTGATGACCACTATTCTCTCCGTATATTCCTGATATGACTGGCCTATATCTACCAGCTAACACATACGCCTGAACTCTATTCAGATTAATTCATCTTTGTCCACACAACTTGTGCAAACAGCAAAACTAAGAAGATCGGCACTTGGACTGAACTGAGACATGGGTTCTGGCACGTCTTTATTGTGGGGAGGTGGCCAGCATCACTGGCCTTGAAGGCATCCGCGTCTACAACTCTGACCTTCTGACAATGCAAGGGCCCCAAAAACCTCTGAACCAAAAGTGTCGGAGTCTCTGCGCACTGGAAGGCACGCAGAAGGGCTGCCGAGTGAGAGGCGATGTTGCGCAAATGGGCTTCCAAGGACTCGAACAAATTGAAATCAAAGGGCTTGGACCTGGGTTCAGGGTTTAGAATGTAAGGTTCAGGGTGTAGGATTTGGAGGACGAAAGGGATTCCAGTAAATTCAAGGGCAGTGGAGAACCGAATGGACAAGTACAGTGCGTAATACATGGAAGCCGGAAATAATACAATTAAAGAAACGCTCTGCACCAAATAGACCTCCATGTAGTCGAACTTTGTCAGACATTGTTTTACAGCATCAGCCACAACAGGGGGCCCGAATCAACGTGCTCTGCGTAGACTGCGGGGAGCATTCCCTTCTGGAGGCCGATGTGAAACCACTCTGTACCAAGTCCCCGTGCAGTAGCAATAAACATGATCAGGCTTTAAAATCAAAAATACCTCAACATGCAATACCCCATGGCTTGCTCTACTTATTTGAGCTTCAGTCTCAACTCCTAGTATCCCCCTTCATAAGCCCTATAATAGTCCCCTATATAACCCCCTTTAGGAATTTAGACTATCGCTCATTTGGCTACTGGTACTTCCTTGCTATCAGCGGACAACTTGCCATCATGGCCACGAACACGCGGCGTGACCCTTTACCCGCGCTCTGAAACCCTGAGGCTGCTTCAAGGTTTAGGATTTAGGGTTCTATAATTATCTGGGCCCCAAAAGTAAGTAAAACATAGCCAAAAAATCATAAAACCAAATCAAAACGGCCAGTATCTTACCTACTTTTGGGGCTCAGGTAATTCTAGGTGAAGTTTTCCTATGCAAAACCACATAGCAAAGCACTCCTGGACCTTCAGTGCTCAGAGGTAGAACCAGATTGACAAGTGAGGTTTCCACGCATCAGACCCTCTAAGTCCTAAACCATTTTTGCCCGCCAACAATGATGTACTCCTTATTGCAGGGACCCCGACAACTGCACCCCTGAGTTTTGGAAACCCTACACCCTGCATAACCCCTTCATATCCACACGCGTTTATACATATATATATATATGTGTGTGTGTGTATGAGCTATAGTCTAGACTCCGTAAAGGGGTTTATATATGGATTATATAAGGACTCTATAAGGGGGCTTACTAAGGGGGATACTAGGAGTTAAGAAGATGGCTCATATCTAGACATATCTCTACAGTATATATCCCCTTACAGAGCGTACAACCCCATTAAATCGTTCAAGGCGCCCCTAATTTTTTGGAACCGCCCCAAGGAGACGTCCCCTCAACCCTACACCCTGAACCTCCAACCTTAATACTGGGACCGAAATGCTTACCAACATCATTCTGAAGGCTATTTCAAGATACACTATACTCTGAATTTCACAAGGAACCTGGGATCATAACGTTGGTACCCTAAACCCTAAACCC